AATGTTTTCAAATTTATTTCTGCCTTGCCGTAGTCACTGAAATAAAACTTGATTTGCATATCCTTCTCAGATATTTGTTTTAACAATTTATTGTGTTTACATAATTCTTTAATGTATGTAATTTACTAACTTTTTCTAACGTAAAATATAAATGATATCTGTGTAATTTTTTATTTAACTAGGTAATTTTATTGCATTTAGGCATTTTAAAAATACAATCTAATGTGGATTGGAAATTCTAGGTCTTACGATTTTTTTTTTCTAAAATTCTGTGTGAAAATATTTAAAAAATTGTGGATACTTCAATTTTTTTTAAGTTTTGTACTTTACATATTGCTTCGTATCTATTGTGGCATTGTTAAAAGCTTACTATGAGTTACTAACTTCGGCTGCTAAAAAGGTGGTGGTGATTAAGGAAGTGTAAAAAGGATGCTATGAAACCTCGATATTACGAAGGCAAAGGGAGACAAAATATTTCTAAATAACATAAAACTTCAAATCAAACCCTAAAACCTGTCTTAGTGTAAACTTTGGCAACAATTTTCTATTCTATTTTTGCCTTTATCCTCTCTTGACACTTAATCCCATGCAACCTTTCTGAATATCTTATTTAACAGTTGGTTTCTCTTATCTAATTTATGCTCGAATCTTAGGATAGATTGAGTTAGTAAAATATTATTGTGGCATATTAATTAAAAGCATGATTTTAAAATTTATATCAAAGTTGAAAATAAACAGGCATTTAATTCCCTTTCACACAAATTACTTATATGTAAAAGAAAAGCTAAATTCTGAAAGTTATATCTTGTATCGGTTGCTTAACATTTATCATATTGATTTCTAGAGCTAATTTCTAAATTTTGTTTTCGTAAAAACTTTTTTAATATCAGTTAAACAAAGTTTTTGTATTATATTTTTTTAAATTAGACTTTGTTATTGCAAATTTTGATCATGCGTGAGTTTTTTTTTTATTTGTTCAAAGAACCTAAAATTTGAGTACTGACAAAAGCTACAATATATATATATAGTCGAACATGATCCACTGTTCCCACATCTTAGTTTTCCTGCAAGTATTGTATTGTTTTAAAGCTCCCATTTAGATCGTTCCTAATTCTCGTTTAGAGGATTCTTGAAACTATCAGAATCCCGCATGTTTGGGTAAATTGACTCAAACAGGTTTGATGTTTTTACATCATTTGAACAAATGTTGAAATTTGTGGTGTTGTCAGTTCAAGAAATGGTTGAAGAAGTGCTAAGTGATACTGATGAAAATTGAACTGAACAAAACCAATTAGAGCAAACATTTGCAGAAGGCCTTGTAGCCTACAAAACAATGAGGAACTTTTTGTATTCACACGAACTTTCTGAAATTCGACAGGAATCTACAACAAATGTCGAAAATTTATAGTTTGTGCTGAAAAGAGAGAACCAAATATTTTAAATAAATAAATGTATCTATTTATCCTTTTTTTTTACAGGAAGTACTTAATTTTTTTATACTTATTGTAAATTTATTAATTTTTATACATTTTCTAGTCATTACTTGATATGTCTCTAGTCATTACGAAGTAATGAATGGTCCCTTGAGAAACGATCGATCAAGGCTCTACTGTATCTCATTATGTAGACTTAAGTAAGTTGGGCAGTTCCAAAGAGCAGGGCACATAGAGCATCAACCAGAGGTCTATTATACCCAAACCCTAAATCGTGATTAACAAAAAAGCTTTGTAGCTCAAATAAAGTTCAGCAAACACCTGACAGGAATATCTTGCAGTTCCCATGCCTTAATGTATTTCATTATGTAAGATTGCATAAGTAAAATATTTATATATTTTCCTAAATTTTAAAAATTTTCTTCAGTAGTAGAACAACCAGCCAATTTTAATTTACAAATAAAGTATGTAAACAAATCACAAGCGAGCTTTGTAGCGATTGAAAGTAGAAATCAGGTTAACATTTTACGAAAATAAATATTTTCTGAAGCAATATATGCATATCAGACTTTTTAAAAAGGGGAAACGGAGGGCAAATATAGTCTAATCCCCATAGAGGTGATATGTAAATAGAGCATGCACATCAATAATTTTTCTCCTCATTATGACACAGGACTATTCGAGAAAGAAATTTTCTACTCTCAGTTTCTCATTTCAATAAAAGAATATTGATGCAGGAATTTTGGTTAAAAATCTTAAAATATGGTGTTTTATTGTGTTACATTTGACTGCACAAAAAAAGTTTGTTAAAAAAAGGACCTTATACATTTCATGGGTAAGTTAAATTATCACCTTTTGGAATTACAATTATTTTTTAAACTATCCTGAAAACATCATGTGAATCCAATTTACTTCATTTTATTCATTCTAAAATCCAAATGTATACTTTTAAAATTATCTTAAAAATAAATATAAATGAATAAGAACAAAACTTAACCATTACGTAATAATTATTCAGAACTATCCAGTATTAAAGTTTTTTTTTGTTGTTTTTTTTTAATTTTAGCATTAAAATATAGTAGGTTAAAAGTTTTGACATATCATTGTTGTTTCTTTCCTTTGCTTGTTTGCATTTATTTTTTATTCTCTATAATGCTTTTTAAAGAATTAATTTGTCGATAATTTTTTTAATGCATTGAATTAATTTAATTCATAAAATACATTTGTCCAGAGAGAAGATTCGATAAAGAACTATTCGATTAATAGAGCAAAGATTTTAAACAATTATAAGTTCTTCAATGAAATTGTCGAATCTTTTTATATTGCTTTAATACATGAAAAAATAGAGAAAACTAACAGTGGTATTAAAGCTGATTAGCCTTTACAGGTGTAAAGTTTAAAATCATAAAATTTAATAGTGGATTTTTTTAAAGGTGATGCAGATGATTCTTTATTCCCAATTTTCATTTTATTTTATTACAACAAAAATCATTTCTTGTAAATGTTTTTAAATATTTCAAATACTTGAGAATATATCTGTAACACTACAAGATGCAATACATTATAAAATCAAGTTGGATTAAAATTTAACTGTGCTTTTTGTTACTTAAATATTGATAAATAAATAAAAAATATTATACAGGGCTGTTACAAAACAACTTAAGATGTTTCTGAAAACTAATGAATCAAATTGTAATAGTTCTATTAAAAGATAAATTTTAATTGTTTTAAAAACCTTTCAAAAATTTAAATTTTCTTTATTTTGTAAAAATATAAACAAAAACAATTTGGTACAGTTTATATGTATTGAAAAATTGGACCTATGAAGTACAACGTCAGCAGATAGTTTATCAGAAAAGTGGCATGTAAAAGTTGAGCTAAGTTTCTCCTCATAGGTTGGATTGTAAACTAACATGAAGTTAATTAAATACAGCACCGTATCGCACATGGAATTAGTTGAGATAGAATTCTTTCTCGTCTTTTATTTAATTTAGATTTATTATTTGTTTGTTTTATTGCAACCACAAGATATTTTTGTTTTGTGTACTTGGCAACTTCAATGCATAATTAGTTTATGTACTACATCTCTTCTGGCCTGTCTTTGTGTTAAGAAAGAAATATATAGTGAGAGAATTGAAATCTATGTGTAAGAATATAGAATGTATCACTTAAGACAATTGACGGACGCGGCTTACTTGAAATAGAAGGAAAAAAACAGTTGCTAACGTAAACAAATTTCACATTTCAATACCCACACTATGTTAATTGCATGCATTCCATTCTGAAAAAGTTAAATAGAAGGATGTGGAAACCACGCTTTTTGCACAGTTCGTGGCGAAATTCGACATGGTAAAGAATAAATCTCATTTTGGAAAAGGGAAAAATCACAAAAAAAGCATCTTTAAGGGCTTTAAAAAACAAAAAAAAAAGCACCTTTAAGCACTTCTTAACAACGTTACGTACCCTGCCCTGTTTAAATAATTCATTCTAACATTTAAATTATGTAAACCATACTTTGTTACTTCCCCTATATAAAGCAAGTTTGCATATTCTTTTTTTTTTTTTTTTTTNTATCCTGTTTTTTTTTTTTTTTTTTTAAATTTTTTGCCCAACTCAATGCTACTAGAAAAAAGTATGATTTAACATCTAATCCACATGAATTATTATTGTAATGACATGGTAAAGAAAAATTCTTGTTTTGGAAACTGGAAAATCAAGCACTTTTCAAAAACAACATATGAAAAAAGTACTTTTAAGGGCTTTTAAAAATCAAAAATAAACACTTATTAAAAATTCTACGCACCCTGCCCTGCTTAAATAGTTCATTCTTACTTTCCTAATAAACAAGTTTGCATACTCCTTACTTTTTCAATTTTTGCCCAACTCAATGCTACTAGAAAAAATATGATTTAGCATTAAAAAGCAAGCATAATTTTGAGAGCATTTATGTGCCGGTCAAACAGCAAATAATTATAATATTTATTAAGTTATTATTTTCCACAATTTGTGTTATAAAATCGTACATGCTAAAAGAAAAGCTTAAATTAGAAAATTTTCCTGTCTCCTAAGTCACAGATAACATAGGAAGCAGCACATCTGTGGTAACTACTTTGCATGGTTAGTGTGCTGGCAACCACAATCAGCAAAAACTTAACTGGCTATTTTACCTATTCTCCCTCTTACCCAAAAATGTAATCTGCTAAGATCAATGGCAATAATTAAACAAATTTTAAAATATACACACTAAACAGTTTTTTAGCCAAACAATCGATAGAAAAACCAGTTTTCTCATTTAATAAGGGCAATTCATGCTAAACTTCATAAAAGTAATAAGTCATTTTTCATATTTTAAGAGTAAATCAGTAGATAAAACGGTCTATTTAAAAAAATCATTTATAAAATGAGTTGATTTTTAAAAATAAAAAAAAATGAAGAGTTAACAGCAGGAATACTGATTTACATGATTTATTCCCCTTATTGACTGGCTCATGTAGAAAAGAAAAACTTAACTATAAATGATATTTCAAATACTTTATTTTGTAATGAAACATTGCACTGACACAAGTATTATTTTTTCAAAATAAAATTTTAATCATTAAAAATGAATGATGATGCTGTACACATGCACCTGATCAATTTAGTCAGGTGGACCTAAAACATTAATACTTACAAAAAGTGTTAAAATACAAAAATTATAATTCACAGTACATTACTTATATTTTAAAACTTAATTTCAAATGAGTTTGTCAAACCTTAGGTAAATGTGAAGAAGAAATTTCACTCTTATCCTGTATATTTATAAATAAGAATTCTATCAAGCAGTTTTAAATTAAGTTGAGTGGTGGTACAGAAATCAAAGTACAGTAAATCAAACTTAAAAGAAAGTTTTGCCAAAAATAAATGCTAAAATTGAATACTTTAGAGAAAAGTTACAAAATATTGGAAAAATCTTCAAGTAAATTTTGTAAGACTTAAGAAAACATTCTTTTTTACAGGACTGAATTAAATTTCTGCCAGTTTACCACCCTTTTAAAACAGATGCTAGGCTCATTCACATAATGATGAATTATAAATAAATTACGAAAAAAGAGCATATACAAAAAAAAAAAAATGTATGTTCAAAAAAATAACAGCAAAGCATTCTGGTATTAAGAAAACAAAATACAAATAAGAACAATCCTGTCATCGAATTTAAACATGAGAATCACACAACATACATTTCAAATATTTCAAGGGTCAGCAAAGGTTTTGAATACCTATTTTAAGAAAATGTAGCAGTCAATGAAAACTTTAATGGATTGAGGCAGATAAAAAGTCAGTTTAAAAAGAAGTCTGCTAGTTACGAAACATTTAATTAGTAGCATATAAAATATACATTTTATGCTAAGTTCACAGAGCTTGTAATTATTAAAATTTTAAAAAAAACATAACATTAAGTGAAAAAAAATTTACTAAACCATTTTTTGACATGCTGATTCTGATACCCACCGAACTTTCTTTCCAGATAAGCATATTAATAGACATCCAGAAGAAAAAATAAAAATGCTTGTTATTTTGGAGCAATAAAACTGATTTTTGCACTCAAAATTGGTGCTAAACTTATGTTTTTCAATCAATGAATATCATTTATTTTGGAGTAGTTTGGCATAATTTCAGCTATTTTGGAACAATTTAGCAAAATTTGCACAGCCGTTCTAATCATGCTATTATTCTGATATAATTCAGATATTTTCTTCTGCGTACATCTCAGTTCATTGTATTCCCCTTGGGAATTGTCGAGAAAAGATTTTTATGTTGTTTGAATAAATTAAAATTGCTGACCCTATATCTACACATAAAAATAAAAGTATAACAAATAGAATCTAAAAAAATTATAAAACTACACAATTTCAATTGTAATTGAATTTTCATTATAAAAAATTACAATTAGATACAAATAGTCACAAGTTATTAACTAAAGGCTTGTACAACGCTATTTATAATAAAACTATCTAACAGAAAATCATAAAATAATAATAGCGACATATTATTTGAAAAAGAAAAAAAAAGCAAATTATGTTTAACAATACTGTTGCTCTTGTGTTCGTTTATATTTTTTCTCAGCTTTAACCGTGTCCTTAAAGGAGAAGATTTTTCTAAAAACCTAACACACAAATTTTAATTAATATAAAAAAATATGCATTGAGAATACTAATTTTCTTCATTTCTAGAATGATAAGATTTAAGAATTGATATTTTTTTTAAAAATTAAAACAAAAACAAATAATACATGTATAATTAAAATAGTTTAAAAAATTTAATTTAACATGAAGATTATATGAACTGTGACACATTCAACACATTTCTGATTTGTTAAAAGCCAAAGAAATTTTTTTCATTTAATAAAATAGTCAACAACTTTTGATGTAAATGTTGATTTCAATATAAAACTTGGTAATTTTTTAAAACTAATTTAGGAGCTAATTATTTAGAAATAAATATTTATATATATAGATAATTTTTTTCTTTTTATTTTTCGTTAAGATAAAAGAAATTCTTTGTTATAATTTCCAAATTAAAAGTAAGAATTTAATTGAAATTACAGTAATTGGTACTTCCAAATAATGAAATACAATTCAATAAATTTAATTTTACTATTCGGATTAAAAATGGGTTAAAATATTATGCCTTTTCAGTGAAAAAATTAGATTTTGATGCAGAATTGTGAAAATGTAAGAAAAAATAAGGAGCTAACTGAAAATTAAAACAAAAGAAAATAAGAGACAACTGCAAGAATAAGATATAAAACCTTTCCTTAATTCCAGACCTGGGATTAAAATCTATATTATTTAGGTAAAATCTGCAGTAGATGGCTTCTCTAACTACTATCTGTTCTTATTTGCCAACAATCTGTTCTGCAATATTTAACATTATGATTTTAAATAACTAAAATACATTAAAACTTATATGAATAAGTAAATCTGTACTACTAAAAGGTTCATAAAGACAACATTTGTAAAAATTAAAAAAAAAATTAACAAGGTTGAAAAAAATGGAGTAATTCAAACATAAACAAAATGATTTAACTTTAAAATTACAAAATATGATTTTAAAAGGAAATATGTACTTGAGTGCACACAATAATAAAATGTATTAATGAACAATTTATCACAAATATCCATCGAAAGAATCAACTCATTATATAAGTACAAAATTTTAAAGATTTTTTTTTCTTCATATTTGTGCAAGATCTCCTTCTTCGAAAGAGTCACGTAAAATCTCTGTGCATTTAAAATTATGAGATGTGAGCAAATATATGAATGTTGTATAAAAACCATAAATATATATTAACTATGTCACATATTAATAAATGAATACACTGATATGAGCAAATGTCAAAATGATTAATAAAACAATACAATAAAAAGTTCCTTTAAAAGGATAAAGTTCAATTGAACCTTTAAAATCCACTCATCAGATGATGATCATGATATATGTACTTGAATTACATACAGGGTGAGAAAAAGAAATGAAGATGAGTGATTTTAAAATATGTAAGGTATGAGACGACTGCGAACTTTTTCTGTGTAATTTTTCCATCCAGGCCCATATTTTTCGCTGCATTCTTTTTCGATTCTGAAGATTCGAAACACTAATGCAAGAAATAACATTGCCAGAGGTCCATAGGGTACAGCATGGGTAAAACCTGAAAAAGAAATTAATACTTAAAAATCAAATTAATGCAATTCTTCGATTATTTTTTTCTTTCTTAATACATAAATGGATTAAAGCTGCAATGAATAGCACAATAGTTTATTACATTATCGAGGAACGTTAGTAAACATAAACAACCTATCTAATTATTCTGACTTAAAATTTAGTGAATCTAATCTGTCATTTGTCTCAAATGAAATACTGATTGCAATTAACTGTGACTGAAATTAAAGGCCTGTTTATGCAATACAAGTTCGTGAATCCGAGAACTTTGAGACATTTCTCTCTCCAAGAAATTGGATGATTCATTGACACTATTCAAGTTCTTGAATGTCCCTGATTGGTCAAATGAATAACTTACGCATGCGCATTGTTCATATTCACATTATAAAATCATACTAACATTAATTCAAATAAAATCCTAATAACAGAGTTTCCACAGAAAAAAAAATGAACAAAATAGTTGCTTTTAGTAGCCTAAAGCATGAAAATAGTTGCCTAAAACTATGAAAATAGTTGCTTAAATAAGAACAAAAATTCATCAAAAATATGACTAAAATTTTGTTAATGACTTATTTGTCATATACCATAATCCATTTAGTCAAGTTGGTGACAAATATGATAATTTTTATATAAACGTTAGTGTTCTAGCACTAAATTTTTAATAAAGAAAAAAATTAGCATATTTGCAGAAAATTAAATAACTTTAATTACTAAAATTCATTCAAAGAATACCTTTGGATTAAAAAAAAACACTTTTTCTAAAAAATTTTCCCTTTTATCACTAATTGATTTAGCAAATATATTGTGAAAAGTGATTACCCAAATTCGAAATTCATGCATCATAATATCCTATTAAAAATTAGGTTTTTTAAAATCGTGTAGAATTTCATAGCAATAACCGTTGAAAAGGTGATTGAGAAGCGAAAGACCTGCGATAGAATCTGTGCAAATTGAACGCATTAAAAAGTGAAGACTCAAATTTGCAATCTAAATTTTTTTTTTAAAATTATTTATTTTTTTTATTTCTATTTTACATTTTTTTAAGAAAAGAAATTCAGTGTGTTCAGAAGATTTCACGTGGTGCAGGTTTTCAACCCAATTTATACTAAAAGACATTGCTAGGAGTACAGAAAAGTCTCTTAATAGTCTCCTTTTCCTGAAAATACTTGGTTTTCTAGCCTTTTCAGGCAAAAAAAGTTGCCATAGTTGCCTCATGCTGAAAATAGTTGGATTTTAGTCGTCTGTGGCAACCCTGTAACAACACAAATACACCGTAACAGTTTAATTTATTTAGATTATATAATACATGAAAACGGACAACAAAATGACATAATCAGATGCCTGCTTACTGCTGTCACGAAACTGTAGAAGCTGATTTGTTATGGGAAAGAAAATTTGGACTGAAAGTAGAACATGCTCTACTACCATCCAGTACTTGGACGATCATTTACGTGATCCAAGCAAAACAAATTTCTATCAATCAATCTTGATCAAAGAAGTTGAATTGTATAAACAGGTCTTAACATGCGTACAATACTATAGAGGAAGTAATCAGAGAAAACTATATGGAATATACATTAATTATGTATTTATACTCTATAACTAGTTATTCATCACATACTCACTGACATGCTAAATAAATATTGTTACATTCTAAATGTTATTTTCCTTAAGAGTTTAATATTTTGAGTAGGTCTTACTCTTATTTTTTATTGACACCTTAAAGTTTACAGAGATTTTTAATAATAAGATAGGGGTATTATTTTTTTTTTCTTTTTTACAATAACAAATAATTAGTTGGGAATTAAGCAGGGATGGGTTACCACTCTTTACTTAGCGAGACAAAAAAAAAAGGACAGCAATTTTAATTAACACACTAATTTGGGATTTTGACAGCAATTTAAATTAACACACTGATTTGGGATTTTGACAGCAATTGTCAAATAAAAAAGAAAGCTTAATGTTCAAATAATTCAAGAACATAATTGAACGATCACTTGTAATTTTATATGTATGTTTATTTATAAATGCTTCATACTCCTAATAGCTGAATTATTCCTACACCATAATTTTGGGGTTCGACATGATGGTTAGAACCAGATAGAACAGTCGATTGTCAAAAACTTGCCAACCCTGGTATAAAGGTTTTAAAATTAATATAATTCCTGATTAAATGCTTTGGAATAAGATTCAGACATAATTTAGGATATGCATTTAGTTAAAATCTGTCAATCTTCCCAAACGAAATAACTTAACACGTGCCTCAAGCACATAACTATGACCATCGCACAGTGGGCCAGCATCCAAGGTTTCGTGGCCAAAATTAGTATTTCGATAAAATTTGTTTCAAAATTAGGGGGGGGGGGTTTATTTAGGTTTTTCATGTGCAGGTAAATTGAATTCATAGTTAAAATTTTGAAATACACTAAAAATACCAACAACAAAAAACAAGATGGCGACTGAAATATGGCGAGCAATATATATATATATGTATATAGTACGTTTAAATAATTAAATATAGCAATGATAATATAATAATTTTCGTAATTTTATATTAAAAATGAAAAGCAAATTATAATTCCGAAGTAATATTACAAAATAGCACAAATTACAAAATAACACGAAAACGTGAAGAAAAAAAAAAGATTTTTGTTTTTCGGTATATTTAGTCCACCTTTACAATATGGGCAAAATAGGGCAGGTTTTTTCAAAAGAAGAAACATCAAAGAAGACAACAAAAAAAAAGTTTAGCTAATTACCTCGTGAAACTTTTGGGAGAGAAGTTTCGAAAGTGATTCAAACATTGTAAAATGTCAATTGATAAGATATAAACTGTAAGTTTATCAAGAGTATCAACTAATCCAACAAATTGAAAAATTGTACTATAATTTCAGACTAATTACTCTGATAAAAATAAAACAGAAAGGTGAAATTCCTGTATATATTTCTGAAATTTAAAAGTTAAATTTAAAAATAAAAAATTTAACATATTTTTCACTACATTGTACCCTTGTCGGACCAAAAAGTAAATTATAATGTTTGGAATGATTATGAATACTTAATTTGGGCGATATTAAAGCTGCCTAAACATATTTTAGTTGAAATTTAATTTTTGGCTTCTGGCCAAAGATCATGGTCTTCTGGCCCACTGTGCATCAGCTTAAATATGCAACATGTAAAACAAGAAAATTGTATTATTGACAATAACCTAGCCAAATAACAATTTTTTTAACGAGGACAAATTCATTACAACCAGATATGAACACTTAAGGACAATTACAAATTTTAATTTAACCAGAAATATATATTAATTAAGAGAATAAAAAAAGAGGAAACTAGGAATGATCCACATTGAACTTTTACAGATTTAATAAAAAACAATTCTCAATGTAAATAGACAGAAATTTAATTTTTAAACACAGTTAGATTTGCAAGTAATTTTAGAGGCCCTAATCAATTAAAATGGAAAAAAAAATAAAAAAAAAGAGAGAGACTAGATTAACTGATGAAAAATAAAGATTGAATTAATGTGGCACATGTTTAAGATGGATTCAAAAGAAATTTATACAGAGGAAAAAAATATTATATTTGCTCATTTTAAAATTAAACGGAAAAAAAAAAGAAAAAAGGATTGCATCCTGAACATAAAAAAAAAAATAAAAAAATAAAAAATAAAAAACTAGCTATCCTTTAAAAGAAATAAAAAAAAAAATATTGAAATTTAGCTTAGGATGGCAAACTTGCGTTCTTTGCTATCATAGTCGGGGGGTAACACTGCCAATCTTCACGTATTGTTTTCAAGAAACAAACTTTGCCTTTTCTTTTTTTGACTAAAGTCAGTAGCATTTGCAATGTCCTGTTGTTAATTGCTGCTTAATATTCAGCCACTATCATAATTTTTTTTTAATTATTTATTTTGGCTAATTTTCTAAGATTTAATTTATTTTGATTCCCTATCATTTATTTCTTGTTCACTACTATTGAACTATGGAACACTGTTAAATCTTAAATCTAATAATGCACAAAGACATAATTTGCAAGCACACATATTATTCATTAAATAAAATATGATTTTAAAAATATGTTAAATAAAAAATTTCAACCTTAATCATTCACTTCTTTCAATCAGTTAAAATTAAAGATTACAATTTTTGGGACTAAATTGTAATCTTGAACCAAATAAAAAAAATTTTTAATTGTCATGCTAACAACCACTAACATCTCTTACAGAAAAAACTTTGTGGTCACTCTTTATTTCAAGACAGAAACAAATTATTTATGTTTAAAATTGAATCCTGAAAATTGCTTACCACAAGAAAGAGTCCAAGCAATAGCCATGATCAAAAGTCCTAAATAGTTGGGATGACGAACCAATCCCCATCCTCCAGAGAGAAGAAGCCTCTTGGATTTTATTTGAGTGGGAACAGAATCATGTTCTACAAATAAAAGAAAATAAATAATAAAACTATTAACTTGCAAAAACAAAACAATTGATATGATCTAGAGCTTGATCCAGTTTAATTAAATTATTATCTTCAATGGAATCCCAATTTTTATCATGCGACTGTTATTAAATAATTCAAACTGCTACATAAGCACAACTATGCATTTAATTGAAATAATTTAAAACAGCTTTGGAAAATAGTTCCTCAATATTTTTTATGGCAATTATAATTATTAACCATGATTTACAGAACCAAAATTTGTAGTGTAAATTTCAACAAAAATAATAAAATTAAAGTATTTTTATCAAACAATAAGACAAAAAAAAATAATAATAATAATAATTTTTTAATGCAATTTTTAGAAGAAGCTTTCAATACTGCGCTGAACACATAATTTGCTAGCCACCTGTAATTTAATATCAGTTTTTACTTTATAATGTACAATAAATTTAAATAAAAATAAAACAGCTACATATACAAGTCCTACATCAAAAATGAATTTAGTTAAAGGAATATTGAATGCCAAAATGTTATGACAGTGTTTCTTAAAAGTAATTACAACACATAACATTCTAGTAGTCACAGACACGTAAATAAACCTTATTGTGTATTCACATACTTAGCATGGCTTTCCCATATGGATCTCTCCTAAAATTGTGCTTCAGGTTACTTGATGTCAGAAAAATATAGTATCCAATCACTACAATGAAAAATTGATAAAATTTTTTTATTAAAACCATTTTTAACATCATAACTGTGTTTAACATTATACTATTATACTTTACAACATCATTATACCTTGCACTAATATGAGAAATTAGTACAATAGATTAAATTGAACCAGCATCAATGGCACCTAAATGTTTTTTCTTAGTTGTCAAAACAATGCAGCAGCGTAATTCTAAATTTTTGTTTTAACCACAATACTAACTTTTTTTCAAAACAGAAATGCTCTGTTAATACATACACAACTACGAAAGTTATAATAAATTTATATTTAACTTGTTTATTTTGTGTGCTTTTTATTAATGAAAAATAAGAACAAATCGTTTTTCTCATTTTCATGTTAAAAAGTTTGTCCAGAAATAATAAACATCTTCTAAGTTCTCATGCACGTGATTAAGTTTATCTAGAAATGAAAATGCTTTATCGTAGACGAACAAAATGACAAATACCAATTTTAGGGTTAAAAGCATAAAAAAAGGAGATTAAGAAACTTTTCTTCTTTAACACGTGTATAGAGCCCCCAGTGGCAGAATCGTGGCGACACGGCGACATTGTCGCAGAACGTTACAGAGTTCTTGCAGAAAAATTTTTCCTTTACAAAGTAAAAAAATTTGGTTTTCTCTTCTGCAAAAATTTTCGAAATTTTTTTTTCTCTCTAAACTTATATTTAAAAGATGTCTTTTTCAAGCATCGAAGGGGAAAGAAATGTTCTTAATTTTTCGATTCTTATTTGGGAAGAATGAAAAATAAAGAATATTGAAGTAAAAAATTTCTTTTCTGCAGAAATGTTAGGAAGATTTTTCCCCCACCACAATTATACTCAAGAGATACCTTATTCACTCATCAGAGGGGAAGAAATGCTCGTGATTTTTTTAAATTTCCTTTTGGGAAAAATAAAAAATTTTGGTTTTCTTTTCTTTCACTGATTTTACGATTTTTAATCATTATTTTTCTATGTGATGATGATTTAGGAAATGCGAAAAAAGAAATAATTAGTGTGTTTTCCTCTTACAAAATGTGAGAATATCGCCTATGACATTAGAGTAAAAAAATATTACATATTCATTATTTAAACAAAATACATAAAGTTTTATTATATCCAAATAGGCTTTTCTTTGTAAATACAAAGTTTCTGTTACTTTAAATTTAATTAATAACATGTATATTAGTTATTATTAAAAGTATCTTGCAGAAAAATATTAGTGCTAGAGAAGATTGTCGCAGAAAGCCCAAAAAAATTCTGCCACAGGGATAGAGCCTTAGCATGCCATACTTATAACTTTTGGTCCTGCAGATACTCAGAGCACATGACGTAATATTTCTTACCTTTTGTATAACTAGGCCAAGAGTTGTATTGCGGGTGCAAAGGTATTTAAAAAGTTAAGCATAAAAAATGACAATAAAATTTTATTTTCTAGACTTCAAATTTGAGTTCTTAGAAGCTAATTACTAATAATAATCGCTTATTTCAAACCCTGATTATAGTGACAAGACTTACTGTTCTCAAATAGAAAATTTTTAATCAAACTGTTCCTTGGTATTGTTTACAAATAAGTACTAAAAAAATTTTGAGCATTTCCACTGTATGAGACAATACACTTAAACATGTATTTGATCAGATAAAAATTGGAGTATCTATCCCCAAAATTGCTCTTAAAAATGTTCTCCTGAAATTTTTAAACGAGGCATCAGGGTTGCTACTCAAATGGAAGAATAAAATTTTTATCTAACGTAACAGCATATAATGAACCACAAAAAATAAAAGTTTGCCATTAATGCATATTATATATTTTAATTAATGCCAGATGGGAAAAAAGAAGCTTCTGCACAGGAAATTTGTTACTCGATCAATGTTGGTCCGTGATGTTGAGAACAGTTTCAAAACATTCTGACTTTTCCAGCATAGCAACCCTGGGGCATACCAATATCTAACCCCAAACACTGCATACATATTTTTAACTTTCACATTAAAACTAATTGGTTGACTCATTTGAAAGCGGCAAATTTATAAAATAAAAAAATATTTCAGTCTACAATGTTCGTTGATTTATTAATCTAAGAAAAATTATATAACTAGAAAGACAGCAGTTTGAAAACGTGACTTTCCAAATGCAGAATTATTACAAGATCAGGAAATATTTCCTTAAAATGCTTTAAAATATAAGCTATAAAGAATTAATATTATATAACAATTTAAGAGTACAATATAATTCTGAGCTGAAAAAAATCAAATTAACTATAAAACCTATACTTACAAAACAGAACTACAATAACTGCTACTGCTGAGTAATACCAGTATAACGTCAAAGAGGTCTTAGTTTCATAGAGATAGTGGTAAACATTTGGAGCTGATAAGCCAAAAGGTACAAGAAATCCAGTTGTCAAAATAAAAGCATATCCCACAGTATCAGAAGTGTAAGTATAAGTACTCAACAATTTTTCCTACAAAATAAATCATTGCATTTTCAGTAATTGAACAAAGTAAACATATAACAAAAATGAAAAATTTGCATAAAAATTCTGAAATGGAGAAACTACCTATTCAAATAGGTAGCTATTATAAAATGAACTTTTCAACCGATAAATTAGCATGTTACAATTTTCCTTTTAAAACACTTTTGCTTTCATTAATATAGAATAATTATAGAAAACAATAAGCATCTAATAAACAGATCACTAGGTTAAAAAAAATTTAATAATGCAAAAACCATAAAAAATGCTTTGCATACACAAATTGTTGAAACTTACCTCGCAAAACAACAAATGGAGAGCAAAAAGGATTTGCATTCCAGCAGTTAAACCTAAAGGAATTGCAGAACGAGCACTTTTCAAAAGAAAATATTTCATCAGAATACTGGAATTTAAAAGAACCTAGAATAAAATGTTACAATAAATAAAATTTCAATAAATTAAAACATTGATCTGATTAACTACTATACTTACAGATCCAATCAATCCTGCACGAATAAAACTTGTTTTAACATCAATTTTCCCAAATAGAACAGGATTTGTATAAGAACCACTGTAAAATTTACCAATAAAGGGCACTGAAATAAGAATGAAAATAAAATAATCAGAGGAATTATTAAAGAAAGGGGGAAAATATCATGATGGAAAAATATGCATTTAAAAAAAACATCCCATATTTCATTAATTTTTCTTAATATTTTGAAAATGTATAAAATCAGTCAATTTTATTCACAGATTATTTTTTATTCATAATAAATTTCAAGGAAATGTATGCATAAATCCAATTAGGTTCATCCATATATTTATTATATGCATAAACCTAAATGGATTTATGCATATATTTCCTTTATAATTTATGGTTAATAATTTATAAAAAAATGATAGAAATTTCTAAAAATAAAAATACTTTTCTATAACTTCTTTCCTTCAAAAAGCAAATTTAGTTAGGCAAAGAAAACAGTCATAAATGCAATTTAGAAATTTTANTTTCTGACGTCAAAAACCCAACCCTGATGCATATATTTATTATATGCATAAACCTAAATGGATTTATGTATATATTTCCTTTATAGTTTATGGTTAATAATTTATTAAAAAATGATAGTAATTTCTAAAAATAAAAATACTTTTCTATAACTTCTTTCCTTCAAAAAGCAAATTTAGTTAGGCAAAGAAAACAGTCATAAATGCAATTTAGAAATTTTAAAAATACATGTAGTATTTGGTCTGAACATTGTCAAAATTTCAGGCATGAGAGTGGGTTAGGCCTATCAACTCAAATCATGAAAAAATAAAAAAAGTATGCAAAACTATTTTGCACCAAAACAAATATATATATATATACATAAGTTTACTTAATTATATCAAGTTTTACATCTGCTTACATAATTATTTAAAGTTTTTTTTTAATTGTTTACTTCTTTTATTTATTATTACTTGCACATGGCAGTCTAACAAACTGTTAGGTTTTTATATATGAGTCTTGGTTAAAGAGAATAAAATAACAATTAAGTTTAGAAGTTTAGTTTTTGCTTTTAAGTTCAGAAAGTCAGAAATTCCGCCATAAGGCAGAAGAATCTTATACTTGAAATTTATAACATATGCTTAAAAATATAACCCAAAATTATGTTTTCCCAATTTCAGACTAGTTATTATTATACACATAGAATTTAGGTTATTTAGTAAAAACAAATTAATTCAATGGTAAGACAAGTAAAAATATAAAAAATTATTTTATCAAGGAAAAAAAATTCAATAAAAAGTAGTTAACATAAGTAACATAATAGTTACCATAGTTACATAATGGCATTATTACCTTTTGTGGGTACAGAACCATGTCCCTTTATGCAGTGAGTGATGTATAGAATGAAAGAAAAAACAGCACAATAAATAAAAGAGCTCAATGCAATCGGCTTGAACTTATCTATACCCCAATTCATGTTAATACCAAAATAAGCACAAACTCCAAATATTATCATGCTGCAAACTAAGTAGACCAAACCTGTAAATAAACAATACAATAAATATACATTAAGATAAAACTTCGATTATTGTGATTTAAATATTAAGGTTGGCAAACTATATACAAGAGTGATTCTTAAACTTTAACAGATATACACCTGGAAAGATTTTACTTTCACAGAAGCTGTCCCTACCTTTCATTTCAATTTTACTAACAGACCACTTTTGAAAAAAAAAAATTTTTTTAAACGCAGCAAAATCCTAAATTTTTATATTTTGCACAAATGTAATAAAAAAAATATATGACTGAAAACTAAAAATTCAAATATCAAAATATATTTAGTAAAGCTTTCTAGAAAAAGTGCATTGTAGATTTGGGATGTCAAGGGCTCACAATTTCGCGACAAATGCTATGATTGTGGGAACAAGGTCAGCATTGTACAGTTTAAATTTATATCTTGATTCTATAAAATATGCCGAAAACTAAAGATTTCAAAAAAATTTATGACAGTAAAAGCAAAACAAATCTTTAACAAAATTAAATCGAATTGGAAAAGAAAAAATCTCTACATAAGAAAATTAATATGAGGGCCAAATTACATGACCTTGGCTTTTCTTTAATTACTAACTCAAATCAAACTTTTTTGTTGTTGATTGTTGTTGCATTTGTTCTATTTATCAATATCTAAGTGCGCATATTAATAGATTGATGAAGAGGTAAATAATCTGCTCACTAATCACGGATAATTTGTTTCCTTTCCCTAAAAACAAATTTCTTAACTTCCTAGAAAAAATTCCTAGACTAAGCCATTCTGTATTGTTTCAGCTAAACTTTTGTGCTTTTTTTCACATTTAAATTTGACGATAATAATCGAATTCCAAAAAATGCGCTTAAACAACAGACCTCCGTGGTCCTCAAAAGATAACGGCAAATTATGTTGAATTAAAAAATTCAAAGAGAGGTTCCGCTCTTATTATATTGGCTTTCATTCAGAGATCCCGAAAACATTTCTTTAATGCTTTTACAGTAGGTAGAAGCAGCACCATTTGTTCAATAGCATTATCCTTCCACATGACGTAAAGAATTATTTCGGGCTCTATGCGCTATCGAAAAATCACCTTTGCTAATATTACAATACACATTAGGGAACAAGTGGATAGGTTAAGTGGAACAAGTAAATACAGGTTACTCTACAAAATATTCTTTCTGAAATATCCGTCAATGCTTCTTGGAAGACATAATCCTGACTCCAATCAGCAACTAGGGCTAGTATGGAGCAAATGAAAAAGTAAACTCCGCATGCTTGGGAGATACTATTCTAGGAAGAGGGAAGAAACATTTTTCATTCTCACTGCAACTAGAAAGGTGAGACCACTCAACCAGTTCCAGCTGAGCAGGTTAAGTGACCAGCATATGCAACAGCAAGAGCGCTGATACAAAAAAACATCCTTCACCAATGGGAGGGGAAAGTGCAGATTGTGGAAGTAGGCAGGAATACGATTTTGTGACGTTATGAGCGAAAAAAATGAAAATAAGCTGTCAGGTTTATTTTCGGAGAAAAATTAATACCTTTGTGGATTATAATTAATACCTTTGTGGAAATTAATACATCAGAGTCAGAAGATCCTTCCAGAAATTCCGGGTTAGTTACCAATTATGACTTAACCATACAAGCCCACTCACCACGACAAGGCGGTAATACCAAATGGAGGGTACAGTTCAATGAACTTGCAAAAAAAAAATTTTTTTATTATATGTAGATGAAATAGTATAGCTGAACTATTTTCAGCGTAGCCAAATCTCTCAACAAAAAATATTTGTAAGCACTATATACATTAACAAAATGCAAAATAATCTTCAAAGACAATACATGATCATGATAAAATAACTAGTTTCTGACAAAGAACACTTTTCTTGATTATATTAGCCATATAAAAAGATTGAGAGATTTTTCGGTTTTATTTCAGAGGGTGTAAAATGAAGCCGGAAATTGAGAATATTTTGCTAAATGCAGCTGAGTTGCACATGAGAGTGCAATAATCTCATCAAATCTAACTCAGTCGATGCACAAACGACGCTCTCATACGCCATAAACCAACGGTAAGCTGAACTGGATTGTGGTTGAATGAATTGTGAAAACGTTAAATAGAACAATGTGAAAAGCACGTTTTTGCATATTGCATGGCTTAAATTGACATGATAAAGAAAAAAAAATCTCACCTTCGAAAAGGGAAATTTAAGCACTTTTTAAAAACACCCATTGAAGGATGCACCTTTAACCCACTGACGGTTCTGCACGTAAAAAGTCGCATTTTAACCTGTAGTCTTCTCTGCATAGCAAAACCGGTTTTCCCATGTTAACTGATAGGGAAACTGTGTGTAGGGGAGAAACATTCTCCCAATTTTGCCCATTTCCTTAACCGCCAGTGGGTTAAGGGCTTTTAAAAAACAAAAATCGAAAAGAAGCACCGTTAAGCACTTTTTAAAAACACTACGCACCATGACCTTTAAATATCTTATAGATTGCACTTTGAAAGAAGAATATCAGAAAAAATTCCTTTTATTTTTCCCACTTTATTAAGAAAAATTTGAAATTCCCTGCATTTTCAGATGATTTTTAAATTTCCTGTTTTTCCCGTGGAATATGAACCCTGCCAGACTATCTGAAAATTAAAAGAGAAGGGTATAGACAACATTTTATTTGGACCATGCCATTCCTCTGGGAAATTTTAAAACCTTTATTTAATTATATATACATACCGTGAAGTCTATATTCCATAGCAGTTTTGCTGTCCAATGATGGAAATCCAAGTACTTTTTTACCAAGTGGAATGAGAGGTAGCAAGCAAAGTAAAAGATGAAATGCAATTACAGATGCCAGTGGAATCTTTACACTGTTTACCAAAACAGACCATCTCGAGAAGAAAGGAGGCACTTCCAAAATGGTACAAGCTTTCTAAAAAATTAGAAAGATTTTAGATCACTTAGTGAAATTTGACATTGTCAAAGAGTAACAGGCCATTTAAGTACAAATCTAAAAACATTTAAATTAAAATTTGGCTAAAATAGAGAACCAGATATCAGAATTGTATTTTAGTTCAAGTTATTGTAAAATTTAGTCATTGATAGAAGAGTTTGCCCGCAAAATGCAATTTACCACACAATTTCTTTTTAAATTGATTAATAATTATCCATCAATTTTGTCTTATTGCATTTCGGACAGATCAGTAAAGAAAATCTTATTTTACACAGAATGCTAATAAATTTCATAGTAACTACCAGCACTGAAACAAGAACTGTACCAGTATCTGAAATTGGTGTGTTATGATAAGCAGATTAAATTATAAGGGGTCTGTCCAGACATTTTGTGAAAGGTCCGTTTTTGTAAAATTGTGAAAAAATTACTCGTAATTTGAAAATATAAAATGAACGTTGAGTCACATTCTTTCAACCAGGGTCCGGTTTTTGTAAATTTGTACAGATAGGGTCCTGTAGTCGCATAAAACTTTTTTTTAGGAGTTTTTAAATCGTAAAGACATTAAATTTTAAAAAATAAACAGCAATTCCTGTTGCTAAATTAGAGATGCAACATACAAATATTTGGTAATTAACCTATACTGCTGAAAGCAGAATATTCATTTCGGACGAATAAAGGAAGAAGCGTTTGCCAAAGACAAAACTTAGTTCATTTACATTTGTCCTTCCCCCCCCCCTTCCTAGGAAGGGTTTATTCGATTACCAAAACAATAATGAATATAAACAAATTTGTGAAGGGTCTGATTAAAAAATAAATTATTTTGTAAAGGATCCGTTTTTAAGTTAAAATATTATATGAAGGGTCCGTTTTTATGGAAAGATATTTTGTGAAGAGTCCGTTAACGGACACAAATTTCTTCTAAACAGACCCCTTATTATGAAATAAAAAGGTTTTTGTTTAATATGTAGAAATATTTTAAATAAAAAAAAGCAAACAGGTGCTTCTTATACTCACGGTCGTGCAAGCAAATATTAAGAACAAAAGAACTGCAGGGAGAAAAAATATCTTCAAAAGCGTAGAGAGAAAATATGCAGTCTGCCACACTTTAGAAATCTGTTTTGGCCTTGAATCAATTTCATCCTCCTCTTCTTCTTCTTCGTCATCATCTGAATATTTAGCTTTTGAGGGAAGTTTCTTACTTTCAAACTTCGATTCCAACTGTCGTTGAGTTGACTAAAAAAAAGCCAAGAACATATGCTTTAAAACTTACACAAGAGAGATTTTAAATTAGAAATGCACATTGTATGCCCCTAAAATAGTTTATATGTGGCACTTGCATTCTAGTTAAAAATACGATCAGAACCCTGAAACACTAACTTAAGGAGGAACAGTAGAATTGTTAACTTAGTTCAGAAATTTTATAATAAATAAAAAAACCAAACAATACATAGTAGGAAGTATATACAAAGAGAGCAGACATATTTATATTAACTACAGATAACATACAATTCTATTCATAAATTTCTATTGTATTATACATTCCTACCCTAAATAGGCAGAACAATATACAATTTACTTTAAATGTCAAACAGTGTTTTTATTTTTCATCTAAAATTAAACCATTTATAACTTTGATACTTTCAAAAGAAATACAATTACTTTAACAGTATTAAAGATTTCTAACTCATAATTGAAAGACACAAAATATGTTAGTCTCTCGACTCTAGACAAGCTCAAAAATTGTCTTTAAATTATCTTCTAGTCTAAGGCAAATATAATTAACACTAAAAAAGTAAATAAAAACAGATGTTTTCCTTTCAAAATTTGAAGAAAACTAATAAAATAATTTAGAAATGGTTTTTTTTTTCTTTACTTTTTTCCTTGACATAAATAATTTTGTGAATTTTTTTTTTAGTTTATAACGGGGAAAACAGCAGAGACACAAACATGAGAAAAATTCAGTACAGTAGCTAGATTTTTACGCAAATAGCATTATAAATAGCAGAGATAAGTAACCCTTAATAACCAAAAATTGGGAAAATTTGCTGACCATTGAACTAAACATTCTGTTATAAAAATTAAGGGGGGGGGGAGTTAATTAAGTCTCTGATAGCAATGTCTCCCATCCTTGAGTTCATAACTCACGGCTGATTTAATTGAACTCTTATCTTCAAGAGCTAAAATGGTGATATAATCAACATTACAAAGAATGTGAAATTACTTTTCAGGGCCTACTCTCATTAATGTAGGATTGAGAATTATTAGTTTTCTAACTTAAAAAAAAGGAAAATAATTTCTCTGTTAAGATCAAAGAGGAAACCTTTACGGAGGTATTTAAGTTTTAGTTCACCAAAAGTATGCTGACGTATTTAATGCATAAGGTAATATTAATATATAGCTTGAACTTTATAAGAAATCAAAAATCAGATCATATAAAAGAAATTGATTTTAGCATGCTCACATAAACAAGATGACTTAAAAACTGCATTATTAGATAAAATTTTATTTTTTGCATGATCATATCAATAAGCTGTTTAAAAAACACTAAATATCCAAAATACAGAGGTATCAACAGTGATTCTGCTAAAGCTTGGATATTATAGGTTTGTAAGACCCAGGACTTCCATAGTTTTAAGTCATTTTTTAATTAAAAGCAAGTCCCCGTTTAACATACAAATTCTCAACCTTTATATCCATCTATTAATATTCACATTTGTATTATTTTATTTACTGATAAGCAAAATAAAAAATTTCAAATCAAGAAAAAAATTTTTTGTACTGATGATGTAATTTGATATTTAGAATCATTCTACTTTTCTCCTTAATTTTAATTCTCTCTTAATAAAGGAAATAAAGATTTTTTACACACATTCAAAGTTTATATTTTGTCCATTTTTTTTACCTGCACTTGAAAATTAACCGTCCCTTTTACAAATTTTAAGCATATTTGCCACGTTCCTTATAACACATCAAGAGGATCGCCGATCAATTTAAAAAATTAATCAAAATGTATTCAGAAACCTAAGTATCTTCTGCATGAACATACTAATAAATTGTTTGGAAAAAAAAAACTAAAAATTGAAAATACAATGGTATCAATTTGTAAAGTAAAGTAAATCAAACCATATTCAGAAACACATTTTCTTTTTCTGCAAGATCATGCTGTTTGAAAAAAAAAAAAAAAAAAAAAAAAAAAAAAAAAAAAAAAAAAAAAAAAAACTAAAATATCCAAAACATAGTGATAAATTAAAATAGTTATCACCCAAGTTTCTTAATTTTTAACTTAGGAAGCATTTCGAAAGCTTTTTTTTAAAGCTAATTTAATTTTAAAGATGAATTAAAAGTGTTTTGATTATACTAAAGTAGCATTTAAATCATTACTAATTTACATCAGCAAGTTGTATTTTGTTGCAGCTCACAGAAAATCAATTAATTATTTATAATTTTTGCATTGCACACTCCTATTTTAAACAAAGTGAATCAATAAGAAATACCTCCATGCTTCTCAAAGCAGAAAGCCGCTTAGAACGAATTCCTTCGGTTGTGGTTGCGGTAGCCTCGGCTTTCATTACTGATGTTGTCTCTTTACTACTAAAATAGCTGTTAAGCTTTACAATGGGTGATAAATTCAATGAAGTTAATGTTTCTCTGCTAAGAAGAGGTTTTTTAACACTGTCAACAACATCTTTTGATACACTGTTAACGTTTGAAGGTTTCTCTGTTTCAACAACTGCTGTTTTAGAATTATCTTCACCAGTTGATTTTTTAGATCTGCCAGATTTCCTTGCAGGTGACTTCGACCTCGATCTTGTTTCTCTTCCGGTTGATCTGCTACGATTTCTTGTTTTTGAACGATTACTTTTGGTTGAAGTTTCTTCAGTATTCTTTTCAGGTTTCTGAAGTTAAAAATAAATATTTTAAAATTAGAAGTTTGAAAGAAAATAGAAAACATAATTCTAGAATGCAGATTGAAAAAAAAAAATTATGGGGACAAGTAATGTATACATTTACAACTCATATACATACACGAATTTTTCATTATATAATGCTTTCATTTAAATTTAATATAAAAATACATATATTTTTAAACGAAAAGAAATCCGGAGTAAATTGGTTGACCTTTCAGTTTTCATTTTTGCTTGCAAAAATTTAACCATATAGTTAGTTTTTATAAAAAAGTGTGAAGAATGGACCAATGAGTTTTGAGGACAGAGAAGCTTGGCCCACCGAATGGAGCATGATTGACCACTTAACAAAAATATATTCAGAAAATATATTGAAGGATATTTGCATTTAAAATTAAAAGAATAATATACATGTCCTTTTTAATAAAAAAGGTAAATAAATAAATCATTCCAACTGAACACAATTATTTATAAAATTGTACAAATAACAAGTCATTGGTACTTATACTAATTGATTTTACAAAATGAAGTATGACGTATCAAACAAAAGCATATAACAAGAGTAAGATATTTCCTGAGTTAGGTTCATAAAAAATAAAATGTGCATAATTATTTATAAACATTTGTTGGATGTAAAAAATATTTTTAAAACCATTGTAAAAAAATTTAATTCACAATAGAATATTAAAAAACACACAGACACAATCGTATGACTGTCAATATTTTGTTTTTTCTCAAAATTCCATTTAAAAAAAATGTTTTTTCTTTTAATCAAAATACACAGAAAATTTTCATAAATCTAGGTACAAAATGTTTTTTTTTTTCTTTTTTCCCAGAAGTAAATTCTATGTTCTGTCCCAGTTTAATAAAGGTAAAAATATATATGTTTCTGATAAATTTTATTATTTAAATGTATAGAACTGCTCTAGTGTAATTTTTCTAAATGCATATTTGTAGATATAGTTTACTCATTTATGTATACATATATATTTATATATATATATATACACACACACAGATGTAGATTTATTTATCTATACAGTAGAGCGCCAATTATCCGAACTGCTCGCGACCGAACGTGGTTCGGATAATGAAAAGTTTGGATAGTCGGAAAGTTGTTTAAAATATAGTTTAAATGATTATTATTTATGCACTAACTTCCCTTTTCTCACTTTTTCCAGGCTTAGAACTGACAGTACTATTTAAAATAGCTCTGGCTTGTTTAAAAGTTTTTTTTCAGCAATTTTTAAATTGTTTTTATTTATTTACTTCCCTCTTTTTTCATTTTGAATTTTTTTGTCAATTACCGATTTAAACCTTCTTTGTCTATTTTCCATTGCAAAAGAAATTCAGCAAAGACTTTTGTTTCAAAAAAGATACTCTTTATAGAGCAGCCTTTATTCTTTTTAATTAAATCAACTGAACTGGATCAACATCATTTTGACGTTATAGACAAAATGAAGCTCGCATTCTTGGAAAATAATTTTCAGTGTAAGAGGGCTAAAATGGTATGTAGGTTTAACTGTATGTATGGCTACTATAAGAAAACTGCTAAAAAAGGTTGTAAATTAAATATGGTCATTAAATGTAGCGGATATTATTTATTCTTCTGAATTTAGAAGAATTGTCAATAAGTTAAAAAGTTCTAAACATGAAAAAAGAGGGGGGGAACCAATTCGGACATAGTTCAGATAATTGGACGTTCGGATAATAAGGGTTCGGATAATCGGCGCTCTACTGTACATATTTTTTTGAAATGTTTGTTAACCTTCAATTTTATAATTCGATTTCAGATTTAATTAACTTTAATTTTTAAAAAATATTTTTGAAAACTTTTCGATTTCAGAAGATACACAATCTACATCTGTAAGAGAGATTATCGAACTGTACAATACCAATAGAAAAATATATCAACAATCTAGTTAACTTAAATAGAACCAGTGTGAAAACAAAGCTGTTAGTGTTCATAAATTTCACCGAAAGAGAAAAGTGCTGAAAACTATGGAAATAAATACTCTAAAAAATTTAATAGCCCCAAAATTAACTTGAACAACAAAAAAAAAAAAATTGTAAACAAAATAGCTTAAGGATCCAGCTTATAAACAAAAATAAAAAACATTATGTGGATGCAAAAAAAAAAAATTTTTAAATTCTAATTGCAATTTAATTTTTTTCTTTACATACAAAAAAGAAAATTAATTTGAAAAAAGAGCAATAGCCAGCTTATAATCAAAAATAAAAAAATAGATCAGGGAGCAAAAAAAAAATAGTAGGGAGCAAATAATAATTCTAATCGCAATTAGTTTTTTTTTTTATATATATAAAAACAGTGAAAAAGAAACTTTAATAATTACAAATCTAATGCAAAAAGGAAGACAACAATAGTCAACTTCTTAATTTAAAATCGTATATCACTGAAAAAATTCAACCAGAATTGTGTCAAATATAAATTATAGCAATGTATATGTTATAATTAAATTTAATATGTAAACTGTAACAAAATATGAATTTACACAAATTTTGCAAATTTGTCAGTGAATTCATGAAACAAAAAGTATAGCATAATTTTTCAATAATAAATGTTCATGATAGTCATACATATAAATAAATATAATAATTTTATAAATGTTATTAAGTTTATAATTAATCAACATTACTTTTTTAAATTTTTACTTTAAAACTATATTTTTAATTTTATAATAAGCACATACCTTAATATCTGCCAACTTCACAGATGAAATAGTTCCATCATTCTCAAACTGAACTTTGCACACAGTTTTTAGGACATCAACAATTTTTCCATCATAAAATTTCTTACTTCCAGCCCATCGAGCTTGCACTTGATCACCTTTCTTGAACTTAGTCGACATTTTGATTCATGGACCTGAATAAGATGGTTTATAAAACATAACTAAATCTGCACATACATTTTATAAAATTGTGAAAAAAATTTTGCTAGAAAGAATTGAAAAAAGCCCATTGCTCAAAGTTTAGAGCTTGACTAATTTTGAAATAAAAAGACAGATAAAACATAAAAAAATATAAAGATTATATAATTTTGATACAGTAATTTTTTTGGGAGGAACACCAGAGAGCCACTCTGCAGAAAAATTATACCGACTCACTAATATATAATAAAAAGTACATTTTTTACAGGGATTTGAATTTTGTAAAAACATTTTTAAAGGGCAATTTGCTAAATATATATATACATACTAAGCCCACATCCTTTCAAAAGCGATGCCTTTTTATTTTATCTTTTCAGGAGAAGATTCATTTAAAGGTTCTTAACTACCTGTTTGTATAAAAAGTACACTTCAGATTTATTTAGTTACTAATAATTATTTAACTTTAAATTTTGCCATTATTTTGCTAAATAAATACCTTTTATTTAAGAATGTATCTTTTAATGTATGTTTCTAAAGAGCTAATGTGTCTCTCATTTCGCATTAATGAGATAAATATCGCCAAGAATCACGTACTTAATCTTAAAGTGGGCAAAATTTCACATTTTGAAAAAATTGGGATTTAAGATAAAATTGTCACTGCGAAAGCGGGGATTATTCATAAGTGCGATTCAGAATTTGCAGATTGAAATAATACAGGGCTGCCACTCGATGAAAGCAAGAAAAATAGCTGCTTTAGTTGCATCATATATGAAAGAAAGTCTCCAAGATATATAAAATAGTTGCTAACATCATATCCTCCTTTAACATAATATTAATTATTTGTGCTGTAATAGCATAAAATTCAAATAACATGCAGTTAGATACTTATATTTTATAAAAAATGTACATTTATTTGTGGATTTGCCAACAATATACTCTTTCACACTACGCTTAAAAACGGAGAGTTTAATCTTTATCCGTTACAGAACAGTTGAATTTGAAACTTGAATTTCCTTTCTCGGTTCTCTTGCAGCTGCTTAGTTTAGACATCAAAAAAATAAATAAATAAATAAATATTGCAATTTAATTCCTTTTTATTTTGTTTATTTTTCATAACTGACACATTTCCAAATTTTAATGCTTATCAAAAATATTACGATCGTAACTCGACAAAACGAATACCACCTTGTACCGTTTTTTCTATTCTAAATGGCTCTAAAAAAAATTAATAACACATTTTGTGTAATCAAAGGCAATTTTTCTAATTTTGCAACACATTTTGTGTAATCAAAGGCAATTTTTCTAATTTTGCTACTTCATTCAAATTAAAAGACGGGAAAAAACTTAATCCTCAGAGATATTACATTAGCTTTCTGAAGCAGGAGGAGCATCCACGTAGTGCAAATTCCAATTCCATCAGTCTGATTGGTTAAATATGTCTGTCATGCTTTTGACATCAGTGAGAAATAATAAAATTAGGATAAAACGAAAGCACTGCAAAAAAGTGGGGGAAGGGAGAAACTCATGAAGCTATTCTTCATTTTAGTCGCTTTGGCTTAAAAAAGTCGCCAATTTTACACTAATCATTGCAAATTAGTTGCTTTTACTCATATTTCTACTAAAATAGTCGCCATAAATGCCATTGCTTTAAAATAGTCGTTTTAGTCGCCTTTGTAGTCTCCAATGAAAGCCGTGTAATATTCTGTTAAAAAATTAAACGGACATTTTAAAAACTATGTAAAAATCCCTAACTGTTAAAATGGTGATCAACAAAACCAAATGGACAATAAAATCGTCACATATCAATCAAGTATTCAAAAAGTAATTCTACAAAAGGCAATTCAAAATTTCACATGTATAATAAAGCATTTAAAAAAAAATGTTGAAAATCGGTAACAATAACTGACAAAAATGCAATCATAAATTCACGTGAGATTGTGAGTGAATCGCCAATAATTGAGTGTGAAATGCGCAGTTCGAAGCTAATCAAACTAATAAAAAATGCCAATCAAACTAATATCAATTAAAACATTTAGATTTTAACAACGACATGAAAATCAGTTTTAATAACTACCGAAAAAACGAGCGGCAAAACCACTCGGATTCACAGCGGAGTCTTCGCAAATCGAGTAGATTGAAGAATGATTACTAACTGAAATGTGTAATTCAGAGCTTTAAAAACATGAAAATCTGTAAAAAAAATTCTTTCGAAATAGCGCAACCACATGGATTTATTCGTTATTAATTGAAATTGATGTTAATTATCATCTATTTGTTTGTTTATTTTTTTATTGAACTAAAATTTTTTTATTTGTTTAACTTAAAGACCTATTATCAAAAAAATCTTTTTTCCATGCCTGCCAAAGTCCCAACGATTTTGGATATAGTACTTTCCACTATATATTCTTCACGGTAAGATTCTGTTTAACGTCTGATTTCATTGATAATAAAGGTTTTATCCCAAAAATAATGAATAAGTTATTATATTTCAAAAAATATACAATTAGAGAAAGGATAAGATAAACATTAAATTATAATTTTCCATTTGCTTTATGTAAATCATTTGCTGGTAATAATAATAATCTTTGATATGAACAACAGCACAAGCCTTCTTTAAATGATTTTTCCAGTGAAGTCTTTTAATGTAAAACTAAAAGGACGGAATTGCTCAATTCAGGGATGAGATTAGCAAAAAGGCAAAAAAGGTGAATTTCCACGCTAGTAAATTTTACGCAAGCGCAACCCTTTAATAATAAATTCCAAACAGTTTAAGGTAATAAATAATGTGTTGATATACAATTGTGTACTAATCTATTATTATATAAACGATTACATTGATACTTAACATTTAGTGAAAGTAAAAATTACCAATTGAAAAAATAAAGCTGGAAATTATATTTTTCCTCAGTTAAGAGACAATTATTACTTGAAAAACTACCTGGTTTAGCAAATTAAAACTACTGAGAATATACATTAATATTTCAATTCTTTTAATAAATACTGTTGTGTGATTTATAGCAAATATATCATTAATATTACTTTTTAAATTATAATTGGAAAAAAAAAACTTTAACAATGGACCAAATCATTATGTTCATATTATAGTCTAATCTAACAAGAACCCTTTGAAACATATCAATAACAGTGAAGTAGAAATATATAGTAACTCCTTAACATACAAAAATTGCTATGTTAGTTTGTAAATTACATGACAATCTGCAACTGTTTAGATAATTGTTTTTTACTTGATAAGAATTTTGCATCTTATAGCATAAATAACAGCAATTATAAATAAAATTTTAATGATGAGTTAACTCTTTTTCCAAAAAAAAAATATATTAAATTAAATCCCTTTTTAAGTGATTGCTTTTGTTTGCTTGCTATCTTTCATGTTTGCTATATTTAGTCGTTAGTCCATCTTCAAACATCTTGTGACAAATCCTGTTTTTACTTCTTTGCAAGCACAGAATGTAAGCTTTGAATATATTCCCTTCCAGTTTCTCTGATGTTGTAACACTTACATACACACTAATAATCGTCGTTAGAAAAATAGTCACCTTTATAGTAACTAATTTTTTTTTTAAATTTACTTCTTACAAGAATCGCGATAGTTGANAATTAAATCCCTTTTTAAGTGATTGCTTTTGTTTGCTTGCTATCTTTTATGTTTGCTATGTTTAGTCGTTAGTCCATCTTCAAACATCTTGTGACAAATCCTGTTTTTTCTTCTTTGCAAGCACAGAATGTAAGTTTTGAATATATTCCCTTCCAGTTTCTCTGATGTTGTAACACTTACATACACACTTATAATCGTCGTTAGAAAAATAGTCACCTTTATAGTAACTAATTTTTTTTTTAAATTTACTTCTTACAAGAATCGCGATAGTTGATCTTAAAATTGCATGAATATGGATTATTATGAATTTTGAAATCACATGAAAATGAAACTAGATATACGATTTTAAAAATGAGAAAATAAACTGGGATATAGAATTTTTAAAACGCGTAAATACAAATACCGATTCATAATTTTTAGATCGCATAAATACGAATCATGATGCCTTAGTTTTAGATTGCATAAATAAGAATTATAAATTTTTAGAATGCGTGAATGTGAATCCCAATGCCTTATTTTAAAATCACGTATAAATACGAAAATCAATGTTTGATATTATAAACCGCATGAGCAAATCAAGACATTGAATTTTAAACTTGCGTGAATACGAATCGCTACATAGGTTTTTAAAAAGGCGTAAATACGAATCACAATATCGGATTTTTAAATCTCGTAAATAAGAATCGCAACATACAATATTCAAATCGCATGAATAAGAATCGCAACACGCAAATATGAAAAGCTATGTTTTATATTAAAATCGTGTGAATAAGAGTCGAGATATTAGCAGATTCCAGGCTTGGGACTGCTAAAAGGCTTGTCAGAAGCAGCGTCGTTTGAACTGCAAAAATCGGACACATCTGGAGGGCAGGTAAAAAATTCGGAAAATCTTATCTGCTGCGGGTAAAAGGGGAGAAAATAGCTAAAATACATAAAAATGAGAAAGGATTGGTACCTATGTAGTTTGAATTTTCTGTTTCTCTTTGAAAATCAGTGAATTTTCTGAAAGAGCGGAATACTTATTAAAAAAAAATGAAATTTTTAGAAAATCTGAATTTTTGATAAAAAAGCTGAAATTTGAGAGATAAAAGTGAAAATCCGCTAAAAAGCGGAAAAATCTCATCCCTGTCAATTATATTTTCCCATTAGCAGTATGTAAAATAATTTGCTGGTAATAAACATAATTCAATTTTACCCATTCAGCTTTTGTTTATTTCAATATTCTATTCAGTGCTATGAAAACTTATTATACACATAAATATTATACATAATGAAAGACTTGTTCTATCCAGGAAAACTTATAATAATTTATTTCCTTTCATATATTCTATTTCGAAATAATTTACCTTTCATGGGATATTCAACTGACAAGTTGCCGCCCTTTCTAACATGTTTAGTTTGTAATAATTTAAAGAATAATTTCTGGATTGTTAGAAATTATTAGTTCCATTAGTTAGAAAGATAAAATATTTCAGCTATATTATTGTCCTGAAATAATATTAAGTACTGATACACCTTATCAAAATATTTAGCTGGTAAATATAAAAATAAAATTGATTTAAATAAAATAAAAATCTTATTTAATCAAACAAATCAGATTATTTTTAAAAAATCATTAATTTTTCTAACTATGCTTTATATTAATAATGCTGATTATCCATGACCATCAGGAATAAATTTGGTAAAAAACTAAAAAACAAGGTTAAAATATTTTGTTTTAACCTTTTTCAAAAATGTTACAAGTAAAATTTTTTAATAATTAAAATACTTGAAATTTAAGCAAAAAAAAAGCATATCTGCATATCTAACTATAGCTAACCTAGTATACATCTAGCATATATCTAACCCAAGATTTACATAAAAAATATCAATACACAATTTTTTTTACAAACTGGTGTATGCAAAGGTTAGTGACTGATTTTTAAGTAACGAAAATACAAATCCCAATGCAATATTTTTATCTCTTAAAAAAGTGTAACTTAAAATCTCATTGATACAGACCAGAAAAAGTAATTTTAAATCACAATGTACAATTGTAAAGTGTTTGAATGTAAATTTAATTACTGTTTGCACTCGCAAAAACACGGATCTTTTTCTCCGGGATTAAAAAAAAAAAAAAACTTTTTTATCAAAGGCAGAATTTTTCTTATTATTAAACTGAAAACAAACTCAGAGTTTCATCAAAGGCAGAAAATTTTTCATTTTATCTAAGTCTACTGGCAAGTTTGGCAATAGGCTATTTCAGATAATTACAAATTGTTTTTTGACACCCTATGATTGCTTTTTGGGTCACTCAATGCTGAAAAATATCTATAAAGGCTGTTATTTACAATTATGTTATTAATTTGATAAATTATTAAGAAATTTAAACAGTATTCTCATTTTGATAGAAGTGAGTATAAAATTGTCTAGTAATTCTTAGAAAATAAAGATGAGTTAGAATCTTAATTTTAAATACTTAAGAATGAAATTTTTTAATTCTCGATAAAAATAAAAGATCAATATATTCTTATAAAAATTTCTTGTAGTACGCATTGATACTGAACAGTTCAACTTCCAATATTTCAGCGCTCTCATAACAGCGGGACATCAACATTTAATTTTGAATATTTAGCAACAAAATTCCTAAAAAATTTTATAAAAATAAAAGGAAAATACATTCATAGTTAAGTTTTATTTAAATGATGCTGATCAGTCTAATCGTACAAAACTCCCGCGCTTTCATATCAGCGGGAGATAAATGTTTTGAGTAATAAAAATAGGCTAATGCAGACATCATAATAAAGGCACAACTTTTTAATAACTATTTATGTACTTAAAAATATTTTAATCGAGGTAAATATAAATTACAGAGGAAAACATACTACTTTGGAGAATCAAGCATTCAATAATGGCGGATATTTTAAAAACCGGTAAACACAAAATATACCGGTAAGAATTTTTTTAAAATATCCTTTAAAATGAGAAACCACAAACGATTGAACAAAATCCTACTAGAGTAATTTATTAAAAAATTACAAAAGCTTCAACACTCCATCGGCTTAGATAGGTATGATAGGTACCATTTTCATAAACAAACTCATGATCACCTTAAATATTACCGTAAGATTTCTAACTCATTATGTAATGTAATCAAACAATCAAATATGCATGCAATTACATTTAAAAAGTTATATAAATGCGGAACTGTGTTCACATAAAATAAAAATTTAATTTTAAAGAGATTTATTTACTTACGTTTTCAAAATCAATGTTAAACTCCAGCATAGGACGCTTATACTAGATTTGACAGGGGAAGAGACGTTGATTGGATAATTCGTATGTGCTTTTCTTTTGATTGGTTCTCATTGCAACTCCTAAACTGTGTTTAGAGCAAAGCATCCTTTTAAGTTTATTTGTGTCCCAGTGGGGTCTGCTGTAAAATTAGAATGTCTCATTTTAGTTTTGCTTTCTTTTTTTTTTAATACGATAAAAAATTTTACGTATAAACAAGATGAGAAAACAATGTATTTTAAAGAAAACTGACCAAATATTTTCAAATGTTAGGTCAAAATTTTTTTAGCTTTTCATTTGCAAAAAATTTAATTGGTGACAAATTCGGATGCCATATTAAGGGGGGAGGGGAGGGTGAAAGTGACTTTACAGTTTTGTACATTATACATTATATGCTTTTAAGAATATGATATACTACTTATCAGAATCCCTCATTCGACAAATTGTTAAGAAACGTTTTCTATCGGATATCCGAAGTCAAGCATCACTGACTGCGGTCAGTGTGCGGGTGGGTGATCACTTCGTTCAGGCTGCGAAAGGACCGAGGTTGTGCGGAATCGATCCTCGTTGAATTTTTCTACAGTAAAGTACTCGACTTCACGCGCAGGCCATCCGGTTATGAAAGCAGGGGTGCCATACTCTCTTCAAAGGATCAAAATTGATATGACTTGTCCTCGAAATATACTCGGAGATGTTTCCCAGATCGTCACCGATAGCCCAACATGCAGCTCTTGGGCAACGAAAATAAGTTACTACTACTTATAAGGGAAAACCAAATTGCAATTTTATTTTTGCCTGAGAACACTACTATTATTTTACCTCCGGGTATCTCAATAATGTACTTTATTAACAAAGACTCTAGACTTGCGAAATACGTAAAAAGTACACCGTAGAATAATAATTTTTATGACTCTTCCACACCAATGTATGTGTGGGAGACGAGTGCATTTCAACTCAGATATCTGAGTTGAAATGTTGAATACTCAATAATGCCATATATATGTTCTATTTGATTCAGATATAAATTCTTTCAAGGCATTCCTCAGCCTGGTCTATGTGGAGGTGTTATTTCATTAATAAAAACAAACAACGCAGCAACAGAACCTCTGAACAATCTTACATAGTGCTTGATCTCAGTCTTATACCTGGGTGAAAATAACGTGCTTCCCCGACAGACGTGCAGGTCTGGGTGACTGATCCAGTGTAAGGACTTCTCAATCTGCATGGTGATGAGCAGTGCCGTTCCTGGGGTGGCGAACGCCTGCGCGCAAGAATAATTTTGTGCGCCCCTATATACTATGCTTATACTTCGAATAGTTGAATTTGGCGCCCCTTAAATTGGGCCCCTGCGTGCGGGGCATTCACTGCATACCCGCCAGGAACGGCAATGGTGATGAACTTCCATTATGTTTGAGGGATGGTTTCGATACAGGTTCCTGATTATCTAACAGATCAAGCACACACATCGAATTGTTAAGACTGAATTGAAACTCATCAATGACTCCACCGCACCATTTTTTAGGAGTGATACAGCCTGTCTGCACCAGTTCATACGGGTCCCGTATCAAGAAGGCACCCAAGGGCGGCGCCAGTAGGGGGTCAGGGGGGGGGGGCTATTGCCCCCTGTCGGGCATCGTTTGCCCCCCTATCGGGACGAACTTAAATGTCGTCGGGAAAACACTACCGTCTTGAAACGAAATATAATTGCATTCTTAAAAAAATCTAGCTTTTTATTAAATTTTTTTTGTTAATGAGAATCAATTAAAAACGAAAATGTGTTATTTTTACTAGCACTTTACCACCAACTTCCTGTTCACTTTCCTCAGAAAAGTCTGAGGGACAAGTCTTTTGTTTGCGTCCATATGGAAAGCTATTCAACACCCCTGAGGGATAAGGGAAGACAAGAAGACTGCCCTAGCTCCTACCCCATCATACCATACTCACGTTACCACACTTTTTGAGACTGACTAATGCGTGTACACATTCTTCGCATTCAATAAAGAAAAGTATTTTGTTAAATGTCACACCGTTTAATGTAAAAAATTCGATTTTTAAATTATTTGGAAGTAGTGAAAAACTAAGTTTGTTCTGTCAATCTTTTTTTATTTTCTCTTAAATAGGGTTAATATTTATATATACTAATAAACTCAATTTTAATTGCTCATATATGAGTTAAAATATTAAAATAGACTACCAAGCTGTCTTACGAATTACAATAAAGAGGACCTGAATCATTCTGTAGTTAAAATGCACGTGCTATTCCATCAAAAATAGTTTTTCTAATCATGAAAAGACAATTTTAGACAACAATTTTTTTAATGTAATAAAAAAATTAGGATTAACAAAATGGATATACAAATTAGAATTGTAATCTTATTAGAATCGGAAAAGTTCATCTTCCTGTCGAGAAAAGTTAAAAAAAAAAAAAAAGCGATAAAATAAGAATTTAATCTATTACGCCGAATTTTATTTATTTACTTATTTGTTTTTTGTATTATAGACACCGCTTTCTCCATAATTGTGAGATGGAGGAATGGCAAAACTTAATATGTTTTAATTTCATATGTTTTAAAATTTAAAGAAACACTTTAAAAAAAATTTCCATTGAAATAAAAAATAAAGATTGTACATTTTTTTCCCTCGAAAATTTTGCAATGTATATCAAAACTAATTTAGTATAATTTTAACACACTTTCCATAGGTGCAAATATTTATTCTATAAACCAAAATTTCTTTCCGCATTTTTGCAAGCTAAAATACAGTCAAAGCTTGATATATCGAGATGTCCGATATTACGATACCTACAAAACATTAATATTTAAGATACAAAAATTCTTTGTTTATAATGAGTTAAAATATATATATATACATTAGCTTTCCGCAATAGCTGCAAAAATTCGTTAGAGGAAAATGCATTTTTCTGTAATTAAAATTAACGAAAAAGGACAAAACAGAAGACGTTTTTATTTATTTATAACTGATATTAATATGAAAAGTGAACATCATTTCACCTTATTTTTCTCTTCCAATCATAATCCTTTAAGTCAGGGGTGTCAAACTCGCGGCCCAGGCAATATATCCGTTGCAAAGTAAAAATAAAATCGAAATGTTAATTAGAAAGGAAACTAGCATGTAAAATTATAATACACTTTATTTATAACTATACGACATTTTAATTGTACGCGCGAAAAAGTAAAATTCTAACTGGCTTGCGGCACTCGCCATTCCAGGGAAACTGCATCGTATCAAAAATAAGCTGAAAAAATTTCTAATCTGAGAACAGAATTTGAAACAAGGTTTAAAGATTTTAATTCCTTGGAAGACAAATTTTGCTTGTTTTCTTCGCTTTTCTCAATAAATATAGACTCAGTACCCAGTAATATGCAAATGGAAGTGATTGAGATTCAGTGCGACTCAAATTTGACAAAATTTCTCCCGAAATAGGAAAAATAGTAGCAGTGAAGAGATGTCAAATATCAAACAATAATTTTACTTTATATATGTTTATTACAATATACTATTCAAAATAAAAATATTTGTTTCTATGAACACTGATTTTTTTTATTGCGGCCGACCTAAAGTTAAGCATTGTTTATTTGGCTCAAGTTAGCTTTTGAGTTTTACACCCCTGCTTTAAGTCATCAAAGCATATATATGTGGATAACCACCAGTTAAATTACCTTTCTATATAAAAATGAAAAAATATTTTGCTATTATCAGTAATATTAACATATACTTCAAATGAATGTACATTGCTAAAAAAAATAAATAATAAATGGACCCACCAGAATAACTTTTCACCTAAAGTTCGGATGTTCTTGCTCTATTACTCATTCCTAATGGTTCTAAAATCATATACTAATTAATTAGTGGTAACGATATTTCAAGATATAAAATTAGACAAAAAACGTACTTTCTCTGATTAGACATAGCTTTTTTCGACTGATACGGATTTCTGACCCCCAAAATATAGTAGCTTCAATCTGGAAATATTGTTTTAGCAGTTTTTCAGGAGCATGTTTGAAAGTTTGGACCCTTTAATGTAAACTTTAGTTTTTGGCGTATTTCACTATGTCCCATTTTTTTTTCTTAAGCGGATTGAAAAAGTTTTGCATACAATTCCAATCATATAAATTANGTTTTGAATTCTTGATGCGACTGATCTGCTCTTGCTGTACAGTCATCTGATTAGTCGGCGTTAAAATTACCGCGATAAAATTGCTTGCGATTATATTACTGCGTTATATATGAACTAACTACCATAATATTAATATCTAATTTGGAATGCGTTCAGAAATGTACTAAAATAGCGTCGATGTAATGTACAGAGCAAGACAATCGTCATTGAAATTTCGAATTAAATTTTTACTGTTTAAGAAACATTGTCAATTTTTTTTCTCTGTATCACAGGGCCCCTGAACGTGGCGGGGCCCCTAGGCAGTTGCCTACAGTGCCTAATGGATAAAACGGCCCTACTTTTATCCCTATCTAATTTTTTGGAAGTGCTATCGGTCCCAGGGCTAAAGTGAATAGAAGGGCTAGTTCACTCCTTTGAAGAAACTCTCGCCGTGCCAAACTTCCGATTTTCGCCTGTGACGTCACGGTGGCGCAAAGCTTACGGTTCTTTTACTGCAGGAACGAAGCGTTCGGTCTAGCTAGCTTTAACTAAGATTGGAGCATTCCTTTTTGTGACATATTCCAAGACATTCCTTGTTTCCTATAATGATTTTTCTCAGTTTTGTGAAGTGAATTACAAAAATTTAAAATTATTTATGAAATGCCAGTTTGTGCGATAGCAA